TAGTATTACATGCGTTACATGGGCGGAGAGGGGCACTTGTCCGGAAAAACCTCGATATTTGGAACAGAACGGAAACTTCAATAGGCATGCAATTTATGGTTTCCCATGTAATTTTAGCTGCTGAATCCGAGTCCATCCTGAGCCATAGCAAAGTGCATCGAATTTCCAGTTTCGTTTGGTTCAGAAATTCTCGAGGTACTGATCGATTCTTGGGACCCCTCCTTACTCGAGTGGGGCCCCCCTTAAGTGGCCGGAAGTCCTCCTTTGTGTAGGTTTTTCAAGTTTTGGGGGCTCTAACAGAGTCCTGCCGGAGCTTCCTGAGCCACCTGCCAGACTTTCTGGGGTTGCTGAAGCAACCCAACACCCCTGCGCTAGATTGTCTCTGCGAATATCGCAAGAAAATCACTAAATCAGAGTATTGGGACTCGGCCAAAATGGGCCACGTTTAGCAAGAAGGGAACCAAACCACATCAGCAATCGCCAAACTTAATTGGGTAATTTACTTTTTCATGTGAAAAAAGTTATGCAGAGTTTTGTGCAAATTTTAGTGAGTTTTTTGGATAATACGAGGTAAATTCCTCAACATTTTCAAAAGAGACCGCAAAATTGTTTTCTTGTAAAAAATTAAATTGCCCGATTAATTTAGCAATAGCTGATGTGGCTCGGTTCCTTTCTGCTTGACACTAGAGTACCTTTATAGGTAGAGGGTAGGTACCTTTATTATATAGCTCTTAGGGCCCAAAAGGGTGACAACGTGAAAAACGAAAATCACTGGAAAAGTTCGCCGCTGCCAACCTAAGCATTAGGAAGATCACTCAATATGACCGACAGCGCATTACAAACAAGCATTTTTACGTATTAAAATTTTGAAACTGAGAAAATGTAAGCAAAATCAAAGTTTTATACGTGATTTTATAATTTTTGATCCGTGTAAATAGTTGAAATGTGAAATTTAGTACCACTGGATAATCCGAGTTCATAGGTTGGCTCCTCCTTTTGGCCCCAAAAGCTACATGACCTGATCAAACCTACCCTCCAAATTAAGTTGTCCATACTCTCCCTATAAAGGTACTCTACTTAACACGGTCCAAATGACGCAAATGCCTTGCTTGGGCACAGTCCGGCATCAACGTCATTGTTTTCTTTGAATTATGCACCGGGAGCGGAGGAAGGGGGCAGGGGGGAATTATGCGGAGTGGTTTGAACCTATTCGGGGTGATCGGTGAATTTCCAATACAGATTAGGAGCAGGTACCAGGCTGGAACGAATGACCCCCGGGCCCGCGCCTTCGACGGACTCGGTACCTGTCCCCCCCGGAGGGGCGACCCGACCCCCGGCGACCTCATTTGAATTTCAGATTGTCTTCCAACTTCTTTATTATTTTTCGGCGTACGCTATCTGCATGCTGACCGTTGAACTTGCGCATGGGTCGCCGCGCCGCCAAGTTCGCCGTTCGCCGAGCCGCGGGTCAGATACCATCGATTCGGGGAGAGAAGGAGGGTTGTCGGATTTTAACGGGGCTCCCATCTCCTAGAGTCCCTTTATACTGAGAGTCAAGACAATGTGAATCCATTTCTGATTGGTTCCCGTATTTTAGGCCTTCACAGTGTCACAAACGGGAATAAAGATTACATTTTCACCGATTGCAAAGATTATAATCTGGAATGGACCAGGGAATTACGGGTTCGGCAAGGAACAAACGGAATGAGAGAAGGAACGGAGAAAGGAATTTGAGAATGGGCCGATCAAAGATTACAAAAAACGTTCAATTTCTGTAATCTTTATTTCCGTTTGTGACTCCATGAGGGGGTGTTGTCTTGACTCTCGGTATAAAGGGACTCTACGATCTCCTGCCTTTGGATTAACTCGAACTTTGGAGATGAGTAAGCTGCCGTGCTAAGATAGAACGCCGTATGAGCTTTCAGACGTTGCCAAGTTTCCTGCGATAAAAAACAAAGGACCCTACAACAAAACGGCCAAATCGGCCTAAACACGGAATCGTACGATTTTCTCAGGGATGATAGAGGGTCTTCCCAGACACTCAAAACTGGTCATATTTTTTGCCTAACCCCCAGGGAAAAGGGGGGAGAGGGGGTCAAAGTCAAAACCTTTAAATTAGCATGACTTCTCAACGGTTTGTCGTAGAAAGATGATCTTGGTGTTAAAATTTCCAGAAAAATGAGAGCTTTCAGAATTTATGTAGGAAATCAATTAAATTTTAAAATTTGACCCGCTTTTGGGGCATTTTACAAGGTCCCCCTTTCGTAAATTTTCGTTTTTTGAGATTTTTGGTTGTTCGGTTCGCACGGATCAAAACAAAAACAATTTCAAATGAAAGTAGAGCGTTTAAGCTTTAAAACGAGCCCAAGATGATCTTGGAGAAACAATTAGAAGCGGAGTTATGAGTCTTCAAAGTTGACGCGGCGCGCGGGAACCTTGTATGTTCCGAGTCTCAAGGTCACCTGCGCGCCCCGGATTGCCTGCAGGTTGCAAGTTTTTCTGTTTTTATGCTTCTGTAGGTCATTCTTAATGTAAATCATTCAATGAAGATAGTTTAATCAGAATTTTTTAATTTTACGGGAGGAGCGAGAGGGGGCTTAGAGTATCAACCATTATGTCCATCATACCTCATTAAACATTTGCTGACGATGACGATTCTGCTCTTATAATTTAGAAGAAACCATGGACCCTCAGTTCAAATATACATATGCTCCATACAGAACTGAACCATTTAGAAATTATAACCCATTGATGCCAAATTTTGGGGTACCCCCTAATTGAGCTATAAGCTACAGCGCTTGACGGAACTCACTTGGTAAAGCCAAATAGTTTCTCGTAGAAGCAGACGAGCTTTGAGCTTCAAGACAAGTCTCAGTTATTCTTGAGGGGGCTGTTTGAAACGCAGTTAAAATTTTTTGACGTTAATGTGGTGTACCTCGCCGAAGGTCCATTGTGTGAAATTAAAAAATTCTGATTAAACTATCTTCATTGAATGATTTACATTAAGAATGACCTACAGAAGCATAAAAACAGAAAAACTTGCAACCTGCAGGCAATCCGGGGCGCGCAGGTGACCTTGAGACTCGGAACATACAAGGTTCCCGCGCGCCGCGTCAACTTTGAAGACTCATAACTCCGCTTCTAATTGTTTCTCCAAGATCATCTTGGGCTCGTTTTAAAGCTTAAACGCTCTACTTTCATTTGAAATTGTTTTTGTTTTGATCCGTGCGAACCGAACAACCAAAAATCTCAAAAAACGAAAATTTACGAAAGGGGGACCTTGTAAAATGCCCCAAAAGCGGGTCAAATTTTAAAATTTAATTGATTTCCTACATAAATTCTGAAAGCTCTCATTTTTCTGGAAATTTTAACACCAAGATCATCTTTCTACGACAAACCGTTGAGAAGTCATGCTAATTTAAAGGTTTTGACTTTGACCCCCTCTCCCCCCTTTTCCCTGGGGGTTAGGCAAAAAATATGACCAGTTTTGAGTGTCTGGGAAGACCCTCTATCATCCCTGAGAAAATCGTACGATTCCGTGTTTAGGCCGATTTGGCCGTTTTGTTGTAGGGTCCTTTACTGAGAAAATTGCGAATATTATTTTCCAAAATTTTCAGACGATTTCTTACGCACTTTAATCTAAAATATCTGAAAATTTCATGGAAAAATATGCATGAATGTTGTCAAAAATACATGTTTTATCAAGGGAAATTTGACAACTCTCGAATGTTCATACGGCGTTCTTCCTTAGCACGGCAGTAAGGTACATAGACGGGGAGATCAAGTCTGTAGCCGTCTCCAATTGGTTTATTAGTTTTAGGCCTTCAATGAGGCTCTGGAGGCCAAATCAGAGGGGGTCCCGTAAATTTCAGAGATGTTTCTACGGGTCTGGGTGTTTCCTTGGAAATGTTCAAACCACCTAGAGCAACACACATCAAAGAAAAAAAAACCTAAAAATGGGTGGGTGAAAGCTAAGTTCGAAGGTCAACGCTACTTTTCGCCTTTAGATGATTGACGAGCAACTCACCAAGCGTAATATTCGCCGAAAGATGACTGATGAATGTCGGGGTGAGCGCTTAGTTGGGTAAATTTTTTGCAAATTGAGTTAGGTTTTCTATCGCTCAACTCTTTGATCATCAGTTGTTACCATTTGGCGAATCTGAGCGCTACGTATAAAGAGAGAGAAGGTTGCAGGTCGATTCCGCTCTCTGATTGGTTTAATACTTATGGGCATGTTCATGGAGCTTTCGCGTCCCAATAAAGAGACCCAACCTAAGGGAGTTGATTTGTTACAAGCAAGAACCAATATTTACAAGAGAAGTGTAGCTATCGGTGAAAATCCATCAAATTGTATTCAGAGTTCATTCCAGAGGATATAAAATATAGCATTCCTTAACGCGTCCAGACATTTTTTACTATTTGGTTTATTTACATTAGAGTACCTGTATAGGGAGAGTACCGACAGATCGGTTCATGGAGGGCTTAGGGCCCAAAAGTGCAGCCACCCTTTTAACCAACTTCTAACGCACAAAATTTCACTGCCAGTCTGCAGATTCCAATTCTAACCAAGATGGCCAAGAATGTACAGAAATGAGCGTTCTTCCGCGAAATTAAGTAAATTTATGCAAAAACTGAGTCAAACACGTTCTTAATAAAGGACGGTTCGTAATAATAGTATCAGTAAATCGCTCTGGATAATTGAAATTCTTAGGTTGGCTGCCCTTTTGGGCCCTGCCTTTATTCGTGGAGGCATCGGTGAAGGCCTGATGGACTTTCAGAGTTTCAGATCTGTCGGTGCTCTCCCTATACAGGTACTCTAATTCACATTGGACCCGAAGGGCTCAATTCTTCCAGTGAAAATTGTAACACGAAGTCGAACTGTGGGTGTAGAAAAAGCAGCTCGATGCACAGAGATTAATGAAATATGAATGAAAGTAATAATTTTATGAATTAGTGATACATATTGTATTATTCGTTATAATTTATGAGTTATTAATTACCTGAGCTCTGGCCTGTTCACCGACTAAGATGACGTCACGGGTGGCGTCGTGAAGTGGGATGTCTGAGATGAAGAGACCTCGACTGGTCAGCTTGTCTAAGGCGTCTAAAAAAGGAGATCCTACGAAGAGCAACGAGTCCGATTCGGGGCAGTGTACCATTTGCCCCTTCAATTCTAGACCCTGCAACACAGCAAAAGCACCATTTTACTATATTAATTTCACCTACTCCATGCCACAAAACTAAGACACTAAATACAAATAGTGCGATGGAGCCAGACAAGATGGTCCTATTGGTAGAAATTCAATCTGTTCATCCAATACAGAAAGAGATGGATATATAAGAAATTGAAAATTCCTTTCTGAAGCCAATGCCGATGGCGAATACTGCCACTAAACGGCAACACTGCCGATGTATGCGCTCTCTACGTATGCAAGGAGACTTTTACTGGTTATAAACGTGGACTCTCACCACAACGTAGGCGATTCCCTCCAATACGGCCTCAACTTCGAGAGCTTTCTTGATTGCTTCTAATTTGAGAGGTCGTTCCAGATACGACCATCGTGTTTCTCCGGAATTGCACATGAGAAAAATTACGTAAATCGCCAATCCTTGAGACGTATAAAAGGTCTATTAGAAATAGATCCCACCCACACGTCCTCACTGTCATTCTAAAGAGCCTCTATGCTCTGCTGTGCTAAGTAAAAACGCAGTATGAGCCTTCAAGTGTTGCCATGTTTCCTTCAATCGAAGACGAATTTGCAGAGAAAATGGTGTGTATATTTTTTTTTCAAACTTTTCAGACAATTTTATTCGAGCTTTACTCTGAAACGTCTGAAAATTTCAAGGAAAAATATGCACAACTATCCTCAAAAATACATGTTTTATCCAGTGAAATTTGGCAACCCTCGAATGTTCAAACGGCGTGCTTCCTTAGTATAGCAGTGCTAACCTCGCCCTGCTAAAAATGACGAGTAGGCTATCCAGAATTCGCCTACTGACATGAGTAGAACTTCGTACATATATGAGTAGAAATCCTACTCATATGAGAAGAAATTCTACTCATACCACTAAAAAATTCTACTAATAAGAGTAGAAAAGTTCAACTCATATGAATTTAATTTTTTTCATTTTTCAGAAAAGCTATTTCTGACCGGGAGACACCGACATATGTAAATTTGAAAAATAAAAACATTTTATTCTTATGTTTTTTTTTATGTGGTGACTAGTTTCTGAGATATCGGACTGGGTAGATTCAACGCTGAACTCGTGTGAGTTGAGATCGCTGTATAGTCATATGAATTGGAATCTCTAGTCATATGAGTTGGCGAAAACTGGATGGAGAAATTTTGCTCACATGGGTTAAATGGAGATGTTGCATGTATGGGGAATTTGCGATTTGACTACTGATTCTTATGTAGAAGTTCGCGAGAAACACGATGGTACCACTGGTTTTCTCTGAAATCATCTCCCAAGCTCAAAAAAAGCTCTTAAAGTGAGGCCAAAATGGAGGGGACATCCCACCCTACCTTGAGAGTCCCCCTCTACATCAAAACAAACTCTCCATGCAAAGATAGGGAGCAAATACATTATCAGGGTTGCCGTGTTTTCACTTTTGGAGTCCCCAAATAAAGTGGCAACCCTGCTAATTTATTTGCTCCCTATCTATGCATGGAGAGTTTGTTTTGATGTAGAGGGGGACTCTCAAGGTAGGGTGGGATGTCCCCTCCATTTTGGCCTCACTTTAAGAGCTTTTTTTGAGCTTGGGAGATGATTTCAGAGAAAACCAGTGGCACCATCGTATTTCTCGCGAACTTTTACACAAAATCAATAGTCAAATCACAAATTCCTCACACATGCAACATATTTATTATATTCATATGACTTTTCTACTCATTAGTGCTCACCATTTTTAGGAGGGCGGTCTAATTGAAATGAGCAATCGGTCGACTTGGCAGCACGGGTTGTTTTTTCATGTAATGGAGGCTGGATTAACGTGACGTCCGTTGGTCGGGAATTATTCCCGAGCCCGAATGTCAACGGAGGGCTGACGTATGCACGAGCACACCCGCTCCGGAGAACCAATTACCTAAAATGGGGATTTCGTTTTAACGTCAGTCTCCGTCATTCAGCCCGGATTCGATTAGCGTCAAAGGATTACGCCCGATGCAACTCGGAGCTTGTAAATCCACATCGCCGGCCTAGCAAGATTCTATTGGGCACGAAATTCCTAAATGTGGGGAGCATCCATGGCCGGAGAGGAAAAATTCGAATCTCCGTTACAACGTTTCCCACTCTCTGATGGGTCTATCGCGCACGACGGATGCGGCCACCTCAGTGCACTGTTTCGGAGTAAAATTGCACGGAAATCACATTAAACACATCAGAAATCGACACCTTCTGGCCAACGTATCACAAGCGCCATGTTGACAAATTGGGACAAAGAATGGATTTTAGGGGTTCGCGTTTTTTAGGGTTTCAAAAAACAATCCAGCTATCCAAAAATTTTACTTTTTAACTTTCTGAAAAAACATCTGCAGCCTATTGTCTTATATTTTGAAGAAGAAATAAAAAATCACAGTTATATCGCAAGCGTCGCACAGTGGATCGAGCCAATAGAAGAGATCGGACAAAATTTGGAAACTTCAAACGCATATAACTCCGTTTATTCAAAACTTTGAGGTTCTAAAAGTGGTTCCATTGGTTTCTTCGTGAAATTTGCCTCCGGAGGCACCCCTTAAAATTTGAAATGTGACTAAATGAACTTCAAAATTCTCAGATTTAGTCAAAAATTTAATGTCTAACCTCCCTAATTGACTCGATCCACTGTGCGTCGTGAGATCTCAAAGCAGGGTGTCATAGGTGCCGAAATTGACACTTAACTTGACCTCTCTCTTCATTGTATATCGAGCTAAGAGTATTTATGAACAGGCTGGTATATGCAATCGCAAAGAAATTGTTATCGCAGTCATGGGAACTCTCTTTTAAAGGGTTTTCTCTGCCTTTGTTAATTTTTTTCAATAGAAGTGGCTAATAAATATAACTGACCTTGTCTCATTTTCTAATGAGTTTGAAAATAATATATTGTGCCAGTGCTGGTCCGAGGAGACATTCATATAAAATTTGCCGTATTCCATCTCTATTCAGGCAACACATCTACCTCAGTGCGTGAATAATCATTTATTCAGATTGTACGTAGTGAGCCAGTTGCGCTTGTCACAGAATAGTAATTTAATGGTTTTAGCTCATAACATGGTTTTTCCCAATTTGCTTTCATCAAGCAGAGCAGCAAGTGCAAATGCGCTGCGGTAGCTAGATGTAAAATACGGATGAAACCAAGGTTTACCAAAAATGTTGTGCACTGCTACGGCAAATGACGTCACACAACGAGCTTTTCGCTTCACCTTGCTTCTATTATTATTGAGAATAAGAATTCAGCATTTGAGCAAAGCTTATAATTTTTTGTTACACTAAATTAAAATGAGGCGAAGTGAAATGTAGCTAAGCTGACTCAGGTTAATCCGTCTACGTGATAAATAAATAAAAGCAAAAGACACCAACTCTGCCGTGCTAAGGAAGAACGCCGTATGAACCTTCAGACGTTGCCAAATTTACTCTGATAAATCACGATTTCTTGGGAAAATTCTTCAATATTTTTCTTTCAATTTTTCATGAAATTTTGTTCGCAATTTCACCTAAAGTTTCTGTAAATTTTAAGGAAAAATAATCGCTGCTTTCCTCAAAAATAAACATTTTATCGGAGGAAATTTGGCAACTCTCAAATGTTCATACGGCGTTCTTCTTCAGCACGGCAGAACTTGAATGTGGTGTGAACGTGAATCAATCGCGTGAGCTCACCTTACACTCTTGGTCTTTAAGTTAATAAATGATGATCGATGATGCTCACATGCTCACCAAATCCCGTCATTACATGTCAACTTTAGATACTTGAAGGATGGTGAGAGCCGTAGTGAGAGGTTTTTCCCGTTATTAAATGTTGCATCAAGAGCCAAAAACAATTGGAAATTAAATAAGATCGAACTCCTAGCTGCCGAGGGTCCTATGATTTAAGTTCTACTTGATACAGTTTCAGAATCACCGCGATGAAAAGAATTATGCAGAAAAAAGTTTTTAATCCATCTTCTTCTTACCTCTCGGGCTTATTAAATCGACACCAGGGTTGAAAACCGGTACTATACTGCCGTGCTAAGGAAGAACGCCGTATGAAAATTCGAGAGTTGCCAAATTTCCTTCGATAAAACATGAATTTTTGACGAAATTTATGCACATTTTTCTTTGAAATTTTCAGATATTTCAGAGTAAATCGAGTACAAAATTGTCTGAAAATGTTGGCGAAAAATATTCAAAATTTTCCCAGTAAATTCGGTTTTTATCGAATGAAACTTGGCAACGCCTGAAGGCTCATACGGCGTTCTTCCTTAGCACGGCAGTATACGGCAGGTCTTGAGGGGAAGAATACAAACAAAGTTGCCGATTCGGTCAAAAATGACTGTTTTCTCACAGTAAAAACTCAGTTGAAAATTTTACGACGAGCAACAGCGCGAGTGCATCGAAACAGAAAGATGATCCCGAGACCCCGCGAACGGGGAATATTGAAAAGTCGAAGGGAGTCTCGGGTCTCGGGTCGCACCAACCTGATCTTTTCTTATGAATTTGGCCGCGTTCCTAATTGCCAAGTCGTTTTCTGGGAAATTATCGTGAAACCGCTGCTACGGCGAGGTTTAATACTGAACCTGACTTCGACTAAATTGAATATAGCTATACAAGCAGAACATTTCCATTTGAAATCTACTCTTAAGGAGAAATGCGTCGTTTTCTACGAATTTCACGCTATGCTGGTGTCCAAACTTTGGATTCCAAAGGCCTTAATGTACACTGGAAAAAGAAGTCGCTTGCATCTAGCTAGACTCTTAAAAACAGTGACAAGAAAAAAAATACTCTTGATTCAATCGGATTTTAGCTTAAAAAAAAAGGAAATCCGCTCAAACTAAGAGGCTTGGTTCTTGATTTAAGCAAAAATCCGATTGAATCAAGAGTACTTTTTCTTGTAACTGTTTTTAAGAGTCTGGACTCTACATCCAAGCGGTTTTTTTTCCAGTGTAATGGTCGCAGGTTAATAATCGAATCAGATATTTTGTCAAATGCCCAGGCAGATACAGCT